ACCTTATCATGAGACAAGAGTGAGAGAAGAACACCCAAAAGGTCCTGTCTCAGCCAAAGCTGGCCAGGTATTCCAGCCCCGAACGGCTAGTATTTGAAATCCCAACTAAGCCAGGTTTCAATGTCGCTTAGGTCTAATTTGACTCAGTCAACTCAAACGGCTAGTTTTGAGTTCTGTTTATACCTCGTCATATGATCCAGTATAGCGGGTAACAAAACAAAAATCGCCTCGGCTTGGCTTACCTTAAACCTGCAAACCAAATAAACTGGGCTACATATACACGTGCTAACTGAGCTGGACCTGCATCTGGCTTTCAAGCAGGCTGGGGGCTTGCGTGGGCTACCAATGAGACCCAATACCTCCGAGCAAACAGAATTGCATCTGTCGTCTCGTTCTGCACTCTCCACGGACCACGGGGGTCAAAAAAAAAAAAATCCCAAAACTCTCTCCTCCCTCCGCTCCCGCTCTCCAGCCAAAACCGCCGCTCCCGCTTGGACCCGCCTCTAGAAGCTTCTAGATCCGTCACTGGCGCCGATGGAGCGGCTCGACTCCAAGTTCCACGGGAAGTACACTGCTCTCAAGGTACCGCGGGCACGCCCGCTTCTTCCTCATCCCGTTTCTATGGCCACTTGGCCAGCCAGCGGTGGTTTGACACTGCAATTATTGTTTCCCGGTTCAATGCATCGCCGTGCCGCAGAAGCGGAAGCTGCTGGACGAGGGGATGGAGCGGAAGCGGGAGGCGGAGCTCAAAGAGCTTTACGATGGTATAAGTCCCGGCCGAACCTATCTCCGGGCCGGACTCGATTTGGGCGGGGCTATGGGAATGGGAGGGAGGGTTTTGGGAGAAGCTTGTTCTTTTTCCCCTGCTTTGATTTTTTTTCCTTTTGTTTTGATAATGCAGCCATGAAAGATTGGATCAGCGATCTCAACAAAAACAATGCGGAGCTCAACGAGAAGCTGTAAGATGATAATTGTTATGCTTGTGCGCGGGTTAGGGTTTTGACGTTTTGTTGTTTGGGGAGGAATTTGTGCCTCTGTCGTTGCTTATATCCCTTTTCTTTTGTTTTATTTTTGGCTAATTGATGATTTCAGGGTGGAAAAGCAGGATGAGCTCGAGAAGACCCGTCAGGAATTCCTTGAAGATATTCATAGTAATACTATCTATCCAATCTCAAAGTTCCTTTCTGTCTAGTCATGAGAAGTAGTTTCTTTGGTCCAAGTATTATTACCTGTGACAATGTTTTTTATTTTTTTCTGTCTAGTCATGAGAAGTAGACACGAATTGGGTTAATCCTTTTGAACTGATTCCCCTTAATTAATGATATATTTATGCATCATGACCGACAGGACCTGTTTTCTGGACCTCTTCAATGAATATTAAACGCATTTTTATTGTATATATAATGTGTTTATTTATTTTCTAATTCTCACTGCATCCTATGTTTTCGTTCCTGTGTTCCAAACGCCATGGTCAGTGGGAATCCTCTATTTTTCCAATCCTCAGTTTTGCTATTGCATTCCCATCCAATTCCTGCATTTTTTCCCCTTTCCTATGTTTTGTATTCCTTTGTTCCAAACAGAGTTGGGTTAGGTGGCACAATATTTACTTATTTTCATTTTTGTTTGATGCAGCAAGAGACAGTGAAATTCTGAGGCTGAAGCAGCTCTTAGATGAGAAGGCTGAAAAGAGCAATTCTAAAGCTACTGGTCTTCTTGGCAGAACACCTGAATCTATCCTAGAAAATTCAACTCCAATGTCACCTAAAAGAAAGACACCACTTTCCCACGGCAAGGTAAAGAGGGTACAGTTGAGTGAAAATGCTCCTCACAGTAGCCCCACGGAGGAATCTCAAGAGGTCAGCTTAGAAATCTGAGTAGTTCCTTTTCATGTACAAGTATTTGAGTGAGCTTTGTTTACTAATCCTTCTTGTGGCTTGATTTGATCTGATACTGCAGCTAGAATGCTCTATAAGACATATGTGCATCTCAGGTTAGTGAAAATTTAATTTAATCTGTCACTACTTTGTTGCATTACTTGAAATTAATTTAGCCAGTGTGTTTGTTGATTCAGGGAATGGGACAAACGAAATTCGGGGTGCTCATATGCTTTGTTCGCTGCTTCAATCTTTAGTTCGCATGAAGATCTCAGTAAATGATGAAACAGAAATATTTTCGATTTCAGTCTCTCATGAAGCTAGTGGTACTTGCTCGTGCTGAATCTCATGTTCTTGTTTTACTACAGCTCAGTATTAGCATAGCTGTTATGCTTTATATTTTTCGTGCTTGCACTGGCACTATCATTTTTTGGACAGTTACATGTTAACAAAGTAGCACCTTTCATATGGTTTCATTTCATTCCATTCCAGGATGTATTCACTCTCTACTCTCTACTCTCTACTCTCTACTCTCTACTCTCTAGTCATGTAATATAAATGAATTGATTCTGATCCTTACAGAGTTTAAACTGCTGCAGGTTACAGTTTCACCCTCACTTGGTTAGAAAAATCTGATGAATGGTCCTATAAGCTTTCCTCGTTGGGCACCCTGGAAAGGATAGCTGCTGATTGGATGAGGCAAGACATAAGATTCAGCATGAATATGTGCCGTATGTTCTTTGAGCGGATATCAAGCATCATATCAAAAGGATGACAGCATGTTCTTCGCTTCAGGTAGCTGTATCAGTCTGCCTAACGAACTTGTAAATGGAAGCCTCCCGATGTAAAAAATGATTTGATGCACTATCTCATTGCAGAACTGCCGTTTATGCTACGGTAGACCTGTGTCGAGCTCGAGCATACCGGTTTGTGGGCGGCAATTGTTGCCATCGCTTGTATTCCTGTTTCAGGTCACGCACTTCCATATGCATAAACTTGACAGTAAACGAGCTAGTATTGCGGTCAATTTTGCTCCAGTCCAAATGGCACCGAGACAATTTTGGAATTATGAGTTCCTTGTGGACTGTGTAAATGAAATTGTAGAATGATGTGGAATTATGACACTTTGGATGATCCCTGAGGCCGCGCTAGTCGGTTTGTTTGGTTGTTTTTATACAAAATGTTTGCATAGTGTACTGATTGTTTTTATGAAACAAAATATCCCCACATCATTCATAGGTATGGATTCGCTTTGGTGGACAGGGTCCATTTGACCCTTGAATCCTTGATACATCAGCCGAGCAACACTGCGTTAGAAGAGGAAATAAGAGTGGCTTCTCCTTCCTACCAATCGGCAACATCAAAGCAGTGGTTTCCGTCTAGGCGGCACACACAAACACGCTGCGAATTAAGGCCATTTGAACATTGCGTTGATGCCGATGCAGTTGCTGAACATTTTCGAGATCATACGATCTTCCTAAATTCAAGCAGTCTTGTCCGTATCCATATCGCAGTCAGAATGAAACAACACAAGGTGACAGGGGACGAAAACAGGTCCTGTAAAAATGAATCTCTGAACATTTCAGAACTCAAAGAACAATTACAGAATCGCCAGGCTCCAGGGACCCACATACTCCTGCTACAGCACCAGACTGGGAACCCAACCCAACGAAACCATCCATCTCTTGTCGATCGATCCAAGCGAGATCAGTGCTTGAAGAACCCGAGGCGACATCTGCGCCGGGCGCTGTCCTCCTCCTCTACGCGGCGGGCTTGTAGAGCTTCTCCACCATCTTCCTGAACTCTGAACAGAGAGAAAACGACAAAGCGAGATTCAGAACAAGAAATCGATCGATCGCGCGATTGTTGACGAGAACGAAGCGAGATGTCGAATCGCGTACCTTCCTGGTTCGCCCAGAGCGCCGCCGCCTGCGTGTTGAGCGGCGACTCGTTGTTCGGCTCTGCATAAATCATAATCCGTCCGTCAGAACCGAGGGAAACGGCGAAACGCACGCAGCAGTACACGAGATCGATGGATCGACCGAACAAAGGAAGGAATCTAGCAAATCGGTTGCGATTCCGTTACCTCCGAGCAGGCTCTGGATGGAGAGGAGGATGGTGCGCACGTCGTAGGCGGAGGACCACTTGTCCTGGAGGATGTCGAGGCAGATGTTGCCGTGCACGTCGACGTTGGGGTGGAAGCAGGGGGTGTCAAACCGCACCTTGGGCGGCTTGTACGGGTACTCGGCGGTGAAGGCCAGCGCGAGGCGGTAGGAGGTGCCCTCGTACGCCGTCCCGGCGGAGCCCGCGATGGTGCCCACCCAGTGGAGCATGTTGTCCCCCTCCGGGAACGCCGACACGCCCGGGTCGCCGCCCATCATCAGCGCCATCAGCTCCGACTGCAGCCGCCGCACCACCGACTGGCCCTCCGCGCCCTTCCCGGCCCCCGCCGACGCCGGCTTCGCCCCCGGCGCCGCCGCGGATGCGGCGGGCACGTTCCCGGTCTGCGACTCCTGGTTCTCTCCCCCGGCCATGGCTGACGATCGAGTGGGTGTTCCTCCCTTTTCTATCTCCCTTTTCTCCTCGGCGGGCGGCGGCGATTGAGTGGGAGGTGGCGGATTACAGAGCGGTGGGAGGATCGAGAGCGGTGGGAGCGGCGGCGGCGGCGGGGCGCAGGATTTAAAGGCGAGAGACGATTGGCTCGGGATGGGAATGCGAGTCTCTTTTGCTCTCTAGTGACCGTTGGGGGCGGCGCCGCACGTTGACAGCTTTCTGCCGCGTCAGCCCCGGCGCCGCCGCCGCCCTGACTCCAACGGCTAGTTCAGCTTTAGGGGAGAGGACAGCATGTTCACGCGTCCATAGTTGTCTGACGTGGGGGCCCGGGGTGGCAGGTGGTGATCTGGCTTGGCTGACCAGCATCCAAATAGGCCCAGCCCAACTCCGATCGCATCAACCCCAGCCCCAAAAGCAGCCGCCCGGTCTAGCTAGGGTTTCGTCTCCGCGGCTTGCTCTAATCCTCTCCCGGCACGAGAGGTAGGTCGGTGCCGCTCTCACCGTCTCTCCCTCCCCACACCTCGATACCGCTACCCGCTGATCCGCTCAGCCGCATCGCAGGGCGTAGCGTCGATGGCGGTGGCACCGGCGGACGCGAAGGCGGAGGCAGCCAAGATGGACCTCCTCGAGGACGACGACGAGTTCGAAGAGTTCGAGATCGACCAAGGTACGCGCACGCTCCCCTGCTTTCGTGTGCGTGGGCATGTTGATTAAGCCATCTGGATTAGACGAGTAGATTTGATTGGTTGGTTAGATGAATAGATGGGAACCCGTGCGGTGTTGGCTAGTGCCTCGGGCTTCAGATCCAATAGGTCACGGACGTATTTGGCCGAAACCATGGGGAATTACAAGGCGTTAGTTGTTTTTGTGATGTGGAATAAACGTTTATGCTGTTAATGTGGCGCCTGATTTCGTTTGGACCTGCGCTGGTACTTTAGAAGTAAAACTAATCTTTGTGTTCTTTATAATCTTTAGGCGGTCTGTTGCATGTAATCCTATCCTGGAAAATAAAATATCCTTGTATATTTCCTATCTAGTTTGGTAATTAGCATGAAACATTGTTCTGACATTTGTGCAGTTAAGTGCTCACACATGCAGTCTTGTGCTGTTCTGTGGCTTTCTGAAACAAATATGTCATAGTGAAAAGATGATTTGATTACATGTTGGCTACCCTGGATACTCTATTTTCAGTGATGCTTTTGCTTCTCCTGGGTGAATCTCTAAAATTGCATAACTACAATGGGACTACCCCTGAATATTGAAAACCCCAGTTGCAGAATTGAGGGTCAATCCCAATGTTGTTCCATTGAACATTAGAAGTGTGAACTAAAACTATGATATTTGTAACTGGTGTTTGGTGTCTGATGCTAACTTTTGATCTAGTAAGTTAAACCTCATTATTCAGTAGCAGTAAATGCTAACTTGCTGTTCACTTAGATGACAAAGAAACAATGCCATAAGCCATGTTGAAAGGGGTGATGATTAAGGGGCACATCTGAACGTCGTTCTCAGAACTTTTCCCTTTATCTTTTTTTCTGTCCTTGTGGCACCTGCATGCTTGTGTTTTGCAATTTGGACTTTGCAATATGGTTAAATCTTCCCAATCAAATATTTTGATTTATTAATAGTCACCTTGAGTCCTAGCCTCCTTAGGTCTAACTAAAATTGAACTAATCTAAACAGGAAAGCCCATTCTGATTTCTAAAGAAGAGGGATGGTGATACTGTTGGACTGAATAAAGAAATAAAATGGATGTTGTATTGTTTTACTCAAACTCAACAGATCCATGATATCAGTACTTACATTTTGTGTTGTATACAGTAATTTTAACAATTCTACTGTGTTGCAAAGGTGAAGTCAGTTTTGAAATCAGAGTGCAACATTTATAGTAGGAAACTTTTGCTCTATCTGTTGTGCAAAATTGCATCTGTCTGGAGTCCTGTCCTCATTGGGTCTAGGTAAAATTGAATCACTCTTAATGGAAATGCAATGTCCATTTTGTTTTGGGAAGAAGAGTGGCTATTATAGAAATCCTAACCCATTTTCTAGTAACGCTTCATGTTATAGCTTTGCCTCTATCAAAACTGATGGTTTGATATGTGTATATACTTGCTTTACTGGTTGACAAACTGAACTAACAGTTTCTACTTGTAGTCAATCATGTGTATATTTTTATGTGACGAATGGCACTGCGTTATGTCTCTTGCTGTAAGTAAAACTATATTGTTTGACACGACACAATGAATTGGTATCATTGTTTTTGTTTCTTACTCACGCAGAGCTAGATATAATTCATTTTCCTTAATTGTTCTGTTAATTCTAGGAGGGGGGAAACTTCCAAATTTCTTAGAAGGGACTGAGGGAGTATCTGTATTGCTGATTTGTATTTTCTTTTAGCTAATAAAAAGATGGAATCTGAATCTGATGCTACATATGGTTTCTTACTATGCTGTATGGATAGGGAAGATAGATATGTTCCGGAATCTTAGCTTGACACTTAAATTAGTTGTCTCATTTTTTTTTTGCCTCTTCTATTGTGTCCTGGGTTACAATGGTAAAAAATATTGCTGTTACATATTTCCTCCTCCGGTGTGTCCTCCAGAAGTTACATAGTTAGTTCTGCAAATCCCTGACTTTTGAAGACTAAGGATTATGTTAGTCTTTGATATTATGATTACATTTTGGGTCACCATGGTAAAAATTATTGTAAATAACATCACCGCACTGCTTCTATTTGTCCTGTTTCCATAAAAGTGCATAGGTAGTATGCTAACCTGTGGATATGGAAGGGTAGGTAGTATATTTATTTTAGTTACAAGAGATACTTAGCCCAATTTGTTAGTTGCATTAGAATTTAGAAAGGCTTTGTTACTGTTGCACTCCCTCCAGCCCTGAATAAATCAATTCCTGGAGTTGTCTTAAGTCAAACTTTTTATGAAACCAAATTAGTATCATTAGATTGTCCATAAAATATATTTTTATAATGGCTTATTTGGTGTCAAAACATTTGTGCTCTTCTCTATAAATTTGGTCATACATAAAAAAGTTTGACTTAGGACAACTCTAGAAATTGATTTATTCAGGGACAGAGATAGTATTTATCCTTTTTAGCAATCATTGAATACCTACAAAATTTCCTTCTAATCTGTCCCATCAGCCTTCTTGCCATCTAGCTTATTCCTGTGGAAGATGTTAGCTACCTAAGTTGTGAATTTGCTTCATGACATCTTAGTATCAGATTCAAAAATCCTCCATAGCTTCTGCCATGTCATTGCTAGTTATGTTGTTCAATCTCAATAGCCAACAACAGAAGTGCATAACCATAAGTATCACGGGTTGATGGATGATACAAGTGATGTGTATGGATGTAAGGATCTGTGTAATCATGAACCATGTTCACCAAGAGGGAAAACTACCATTGGAAGACACTAGATGGAGGGCGCTTGGAATAGAGGAGTGGGGAGTTAAAAGAAAATCTTTTTGGTTAGATGTTGCTCGTTGAAACTGAAAACTCGGGGTGTATAAATGACCATTCACTAAAACCAATATAACCTGAAATAGCCTAATCTAAGTATAGCAAGGTTCTCTTTTTTTTTTTTTGGAAAAAAGTATAGCAAGGTTCTGACTTAACATCTAATGAACATGTTTTTTTTTATCTCGTTGTATTTGTATGGCTGGTGTAGTGGCTGGCAAAGAATGCTTCTTACTGACGCTCCTGTAATATGCAGAATGGGATGATAAGGAAGAAGGCAATGAAGCCGTCCAGCAGTGGGAGGATGATTGGGATGACGATGACGTGAATGATGATTTCTCGCTGCAGCTGAGGAAAGAGCTGGAGGGAAGCAACGCCCAGAAGAGCTGAAGTATTATTTCTCTAGTTTATAAATGATTCTTATATTCCAGCTACTTTTGGAACCGTGGTGTGCTTTGGATGGGTTGATATGGTTGTGCAGCTCTATATGTGAACGGCAGAAAGTTTATGGACATCAGTCGGCAATTTGACAGCACTGTATCTGTTCCGGTGGAAATTATCTCACCAGTTGTCGTTGTCTCGGTTCTTAGCAACATAAGATAAAAACCAGCAACCCAACAGTTTTGTATATCCACTCTCAAAACCTCCGCACAAAAAAAGAGGGTTGCACGCGTATCGTAAATTTTCAGTCGAAACAGTATTTTTCTCTCACGTAAATAAGTTAGCCGTGCTTTTTATAAACCAGTAACGAAACGAATCAGCCAATCGAACAGGCTACTGATCCCTTCCAATTGCTGTTTGCCTCCCTCCCATCCGCGGACGACCGGTTTGGTGGATGAAAAAACGATCTTCCGCAAAAGCACAGGTACGCCGAGACGGAGGAACATGGTGCGCCAGATAGAAGATGGTGCGCTCGATAGAATTGGAGCAATGATGTCGCTGTCGGACGCGTTAGCTAGGCGGAGGACGAGGACACCAGACCTCAGACAGTCAGGCCTCACAGCCAGTGCCACAGTGAGGTGCAACGGTGTGACTTGTGCGTGACCGGCCTCCGAAATAATCTCGTACGTTGAGGTAGCACCTCGTTGGTCTTGTGCGTGAACTTGTTTGGATTCATTGCTAGCTAGTTGTATTACTGGGCAATCTACATGCTAGATCAAGTAGTACTGATTGGGAAATGCAACCGGGTGTTTGAAATTGGAGGGGAAAAAAAGGAGAGAAAAATATTGTATTAAAGTCGGCTGATAAGCCGGCTGAAGCTGATTTATTGTGAGAGAAAAATACTGTAGATTCTAGCTGATAAGCCGGCTGATAAGTTCAAGCGAACAAGCCATGGTGTCTCTGATTGCGAACTGCATGCAGCCTAGCTCCACGCTGCCATGCGGTTGTGCCTATCGAATGGCTTATCTTTCACTTTCAGGAGGGCATTATTGATAACTGTTGGAGATAGAAAATAAATCATCCCCCTTCTAGGATCCGTTGAAGATGCTCTTATAAGATCTCTTAGTGCAACTCTTCGGAATGGCTTCAGAAATCTCTGGGAAACCCTGTTTGAGAAGGTTGAGTCCTATTTGCAATCGATGTTACAGTCGAAATTATGATAATAAAGTCATGGGCAGATAGCCCTGACGAGTGATTTTGATTAATTAAACGGGACTGGGAGATTACTATTCCAGCCAAGTAAACATAAACTCTTCAAAGAAAGGTCGTCGGCGAGCTTCGCCCTCATAGCATAAATATTTGTTGAACCCACATATCACTTGGTTATATCTTTTTTTTTTCTGAATCATCTTTTTTTTTATGCTTGGATTTTTTCCTTCGTTATAAAAGAACAGAGTACACAGGCCAATCTTGTCGGCTAAGACTAAAGTTAGCCAATTTTTTAACTCTTTAGGATGCTTGGTTGCTGCCTTGCTGGCTAAATTTAACCCTTTTGAGACTAACTAATAGGCTAATGGTTAGATTGTGTGTAAGTAAACAAAAATAGCCATGCTATTAACCCATAGCCTAATTAGCCCCTTCTGTGTCCATCCAAATAGACCAAAAATTGCCCTTCTCTTTGGGGCTTGGGTTGCAAATATGACCACTAAGACCAAGGATGGTAATAGGTTTGTATCGGATGGGTGTCACCAATCCATATCAATAACCATTAGAATTTTTTGTATCTATGAAGAAACCAAACCTATGTGCGGGCACAACTTTGGGACCATACTTGTGTCCATACGGGCAGCGAGTAGCCACGGTTGCCCAAACCCGACAAGAAATGCAGTTACATGGGCAAACAATAGAACAACAAATATGTGACAATCTCATAGAAAAATAAATATATATGTCACTCCTTCTTATATGGCACTAGGTGTGCTAGTTGGACCATATTTTGGAGTATATTAGGTTGGTGAATAGCTTTGGAGTATATTTGCATATCAGGTATTTCATACCCATGGTTTATAGGTTTGGCTAGTGCAGAATCATCCCTGTATCCACAAAATCAGAGTAAAGATTTGTCGGGGACTAATACTAGGGTACCCGAAGAGAAGGAGCTAATGGTCATCAGCGTTGATTCATCCGACAGTTAAGAGTGCGACTACAGCTCCAACCAACCCCTAGGTGCGCGGGCTCCGCTTCGCCCGACCTCTGAGGGAGGGCTCCGCCTCGCCCGACCCCAAGGTCGTGCACTCCGCCTTGCCCGACCTATGGGAGAGGGCTCCGCCTCGTCCGACACCGAGGTCGCGGGCTCTGCCGCGCCCGACCTCTGGGGGCGGGCTCCGCCTCGCCCGACCCCAAGGTCGTGGGCTCCGCCTAGCCGACCTCTGGGGGCGAGCTCTGCCTCGCCCGACCTCAAGGTCGTGGGCTCCGCCTAGCCGACCTCTAGGGGCGGGCTCCGCTACCCCCGACCCAAGGCCACGGGCTCCGCCTCGCCCGACTTCTGGGGGTGGGCTCCGCCTTGCCCAACCCCGAGGCCGCGGGATCCGCCTCGCCTGACCAACAAGGTCGTGGGCTCCGCCTCGCCCGACCTCGAGGCTGCGGGCTCCGCCTCGCCCGACCCTTGGGTTTGCGCTTCGCCTCACCCGATCCCTCGGGTGCGGGCTTCTGTCTTGCCCGACGGGGTCCCATATCGCTGCCAACCACTCCCGGTCCAGGCGTAAGGGCCTGGGTCAAAACTCTGACACCACGGAAGAGACTAGCACGCCTCGATGTAACCCGCAGTCACAATAGGCCATACCTGAGGGTTTACATCAAGAACAGCGTCGGGCGTACCGATGCTGTTCTGCTTACCCCTCGTACGAATACTGACATGCATGTCAATTCACCACGACGTCCGCGCAGGACGGAGTGGAGCGCCATGACCAGCAGACGACGCCTGCGCATGGCACCAGTGACGGACAGGGTCACGATGTGGCACCATCCCTGTTGACATCTACAGGGTTGGAGGAACCCGCCTGAAGGAGAAGAAGGACCCGACGATCCTGAAGGACTTCTTCTCTCTCTCTCTTGTTCTCCTCTCTTCCTCCGCTGTAACCCGTGCTTTCCCTTGGCCTATAAAAGAGAAAGCAGGGTGTCTCATGAAGGGGACTCGATCCGATCGAATCACCCCGATTCGATTCAAGCCAGATAAACACACAAGAACACGACATGAAACACACGGCTGAGCAGTGATCGAGCTCTCAGCGCCCGTTCACTCTTTCCACCAGAGACTTAGGATCCTTTCCCTCTCTCGCCCGTTTGTAACCCTACTGCAAACTTTTAGTGCTAGTAGCATAAGCAGCAGCAACGAACTGGACGTAGGGACATTCTACATGAACAAGTATAAACCTCTTGTCCTCTAAGCACACCATCCGAGCCAGACGCGCTATATTAGAAATTTACTTGTCGATGGTAACTCGAAACACCGATAGTTGGCGCGCCAGGTAGGGGCCTTTTGCGCGTCTCGACATCCACACCAGGCTTCGGATGGCTAGTCGCAACGTTAGCTGGGTCCCGGGCGCGCACGTGCGCTTTGGGAGCCTAGACTTTATCGTCATGGCGGAGGGAGAGTTGGTGCGGCCTCCCGTCGCTGTCCAACCTCTCCACTTTACCGGCCTCGACACGATCGTCGAGGTGCTTGTGGAGCTGCAGCTGCACGCATCGGAGGCCCACGCCCTCAGGAGCGGCCAGCTCCCCGGCTTTGACTATGGGAGGTTAGAGCGCCAGCTCGGCGCCTTCCTGGGACCCCGACCTATAACACCCCTAGTGTTACGATCTTGTTTAGTACCAAGATTTAGGCCTAAGAAAAATTTTCGTAAATGAGAGCCTCAAATTTAAAATTTAAAAACCAGCTTTTCGCGTCAACGGTAGAAATCAGAAATTATATTTTTAAAGCGTTGTTTGTGGCGATTTGTTTTGTGCAAAATAATTACATAGCACCATAATATTTTGTTCTATGGCTGGGTATGGAGTAGGAGCTGTCGCGTGACATGTTTAGTGATGGAAGTCGATAGGATTTAAATCTTTTTGAGTGCCGATGACGTATCGCTGTTCCCATCCGCGTCGCACGCGCAGATAGGCAGCCAGCAGAGCCACGCGACGCCCATGCGTTCGGCTGCTGCTCCCTCTCCCTCGCGTCCTTTCTCTGAGAGCGCCTTAAAGAAAGTTGGCCGAGCTGCTGCGGCCGTGTACTGCTTTACTGGTTTTCCCTCCGTCTAACTGCAAGTTCCGTCGCTTCACCCTGCAGCACCATCAATGCCTCTGCTGCCTCTGTCTGCCTCTGCTGCTTCCATTTTTCTTTACCACCAGAGCAAGGCACACATGCAAGCATCGCACATCCTTGTCGCATATGCCGCAGTGCCAGTCGGGCCATCCAACGGCAGCAGGCACGTCTCCCTCGCCTACTACTACCGCACTCGGCGCCCTAGCATCTGCGCTCCTTGCCCCTGCACGCCCGCACCCCACTGTTGCCCCACCGCAGTCGTCGCGCCTCCCACCCGCCGCTTGCCTCGAGCCACGCGCAGCTACGGCGCCGGCGCGTTCCCTGCCACCGAGTCGCCGAGGAAGTCCGCCATCACCCGGAGGTTGGCCGCGCGCATCTCCACCTCGCCTCGAGCCTCCTCTGCGGCAAGTCCGCGCACCTCCCCACGCGCGTGAGCCTCGATCTACTCCGGACCGCTGCCCTCTCATGCATCCGTGCCCGCGGCGCTGCCCTGCTGCTCCACAGCGCCTCGCCCTGCCTCCCTCGTGAGCACGCGTCGCGCCCCTCGGTCCACGCTGGACTGATGGCTCCGCAGCGCTGCTTTCCTGTGCCTCCTCCCATCGCCGTGCCAGGCCTCAGCCTTGGTTGCGCCGCCGCCGTCGGTCCTCCCTCGCGAGAGCACTAATCCCCTTGGCCCCGCGCGTTGCTCTCCGCAGCGGCGTTC